CGATGAAAAGATAAAATGATGAACAATATGGATATTTTTTAATCACGAGATGTACAATAATTCTTCTTTTTACGTGAATAAGGTACGTTTTTAACCCGAGATTCCTTTGGAGTTATGTAAATTAAAACAGGCTATACCACCGCTTTCGACTTCAAATATTGTAAGATTATTCTCAGCATTGATCGTTGTTCTTTCACTAACCTATATATAGATATTTACTGAACAGGACTTCTAAACAAGACCGGTCTTCGGATGAGACCGTATAAACCGAGCTCCAGGTCCCGTGTCGCAGTAGGTGCTGGCACGATAAAGACCCCACCCTGCTCAATGGCCCGAAGTGCCGAGTATAGGACAAAATTTGCAGCTCTCCATATGAGTGAAGAATTCTCGAGAGGGACGCTAAACAATATACAATCAATCAATCAGTCTAAACATGAATGTAAACATTCAAATGTTTGAGCGAGGTAAACTAACTTTGAACAAACAGCTTCTAGGTCATTGCGCGTCACAACATAGCAAAACGGCGGCCCGTTCGGCTAATAAATGCAATTTTACTCCAAATTTATTCGTCTCAAATGTAAATATAAGTAAATATTTACATTTGCAAATGTTTTCCCTTATATAACACTATTTGAACAAGGCGTTTTTACATCTCCGTAAAACACGTTCGTCATGTGACCATAAATTGATTGTTAAGTCATAAGCCATCTACGTAGTTTGATAATGACGTCATAAGCGATCGACGTTATAAGCGTATTCAATTTATACAGTTGAATTTATTATTTGTACTTATTTATTTGTAATAAATAAGTTACAAATGTAAATATCAGTAATAAGGTATCATTTTTTGAGTTTTATTGGGATATTAAACGGGTTGGCACATGATCAAATCTTACATATAAAGCCCTTCGTGCTTTATGAGATTTGATCACGTGACCAACCCGTTTAACATCCCAATAAAACGCAAAAAATGATACCTTATTTCTTAAAGGTACTTGGACACAGATTTGAAGTTAATATTTTCTGTATAATATCATGAATATATATTTTAAAAGCATTTCACACAAAAATTAATTAAAAATCTTTTTTTATTTAAAAGTTATTAAAACTTCAAAGTTTTTGGCGGGTTTGATTGACACATCCTTGCACTTTCACAAATTTTAACTTTATTCTTAACCTTCGGAAAAGTGGCAATCTTTTTGTGTATTAATGAGAAATATTAAAACTTTAATCCAGAAAAACAATTTTATTCAGAGTAGAAATGTTACAAAGCAAAATTCCTTCACAAGTACCGTCATTCCGAACTAAGTCTTGTGTGCAAATCGATCACACTCGTGTTATGTACACAGTTTTTGTAAACTGGGCAAGAGCTCTGTTATTGTTGATTGTTTACGATTCACCGGGTGCGTTCAGTCGTCAAAGTCTGCTCACCACAACTGCACGGACTGAGAATATATTGTGTGTTTGTTTTGCTTTCGAACATGTCTACTCTGATTTTTTCTGGATTATAGTATTAATATTTTTCATTTATACACAACAAGATTGCCACTTTTCCTAAGTATTAAGAGTAAACTTAAAATTTGTGAAAGTGCAAGGATGTGTCAATCAAACCCGCCAAAAACTTTGAGGTTTTAATAACTTTTAAACGAAATAATATTTTTTATTAATTTTTGTGTGAAATGCTATTGAAACATATAAGTCGTAATATTATACAGAAAAAATTACCTTCAAATCTGTGTCCAAGTACCTTTAATAAACAACAATGTTAAAAAGTTCACTGGGAGATGAACTTTCAGTTGGAACGTTATCAAATCTACAGAGAAGCCTTTCGGGCTTCACAGGATTTGATCACGTGAGCAACTAAACGTTCATTTCCCAGAGAACTTTTTTAACATTGCTGTTTATTTCTTTTAAAAATACCTTACGCTTTAATCAATATTATTGCATGAAACAAGAAAAGAAGATTATGACGTACATGTAGCACAACGTGAAGTCATAATAGGTGTGTGCTTAGATGTTTGTAAGAGGTGATGAAAAATTGGAAATGGAGAAAATATTGTCATTTTCATGCAACAGTCAGTATAATAATAACAATAGTGTTGTGTTTTGCATGCACTATGCCTAAATAGTAGTCAGGGTTCGACGCATAGTGCGCCTCCGGCTCGTGCACCATGTGTCAAACCCTGACTACTATTTAGGCATAGTGCATGCAAAACACAACACTATTATATAAGTAGGGGGGGGCAAACCTCTGTCGACTGGAAAATAAGTAACAGGCCCGTGCGATGCGATTTCATTTTGAAAGGGAAGGCAGACAGCCATATATTTTCAGTTGGGAGCACTTTCATTTATACCTAAAATTTCTTGACAAATAAGGTCACCAGGGGTTTTTATTGAGAGGGCACGAGCGTATTATTATAGCAGCAATGTTTTCTATAGAAATTTTCGGGGTTTTTTTTTTTAGAATACTGAACAGTATGTTTTCTATTATAGTAAACTATATATCGGAAAATTATTGGTTCCTTCGGCAATGAATTACCTATGTTATCCATACAATCTAATATAATCATTTTACTTCTAGCTCAGGGGCTTGTTTCCGTGTAATGTTTATTTTTAAAAAAAACATACAGTAAAACTGGTATAACATATATATATGATTTTTAAAAAATAAATCGTAATTTCACACCGGGAACAAATCCTTATGCATGTAATTCCAGTCTGTGCATTATAAAAAAGAAGAAAAAAAAGCTTCTCTGTCAGTTTTTTTACATTATGCTTACTTAAGTGATAAGCTGCATGATGACAAAGAAATTTAGATTTTCATTTACAATCTGAAACAGGTTGTCACAATTTTGTAGGTTACCCCTACGTGTAAAAATTATGATCCATTACAAATAATTGATTCTTTTTATTGGGGTAATAGTACGTTGCCAGGCTTTCGTATGAATCATCCCACAGTGTGTGGTATCTTTGCGAGTTAAACAGTTCAATATGCAGATTGCACTGTGCACTGAAGATCCTAAAAAGTCGTTCACAAATATAAAGATTCCTCGAATGCTAATATTAAAGGGGTAAGGACACAGTTTCAACTAAAATTTCAAAATTTATTTTTCCATTTTTACGAATATTAAACAAGGGTCTTTCTAATGATTATCAAAAATTTGAACGTAAGTTGTTGAGATGGACAGATTTATAGCTCCAAACCTTTAATATGTAAACATGGTATGTGTCATGTTTTTAATGACATATAGGTTGATATATTAATATATGTTCATTCAGAGTAGATAATTTCAATAAAGAAGTTAATTTTAAATACGATTCGACAGTTTCTATTGCTTTGCGCATACTAAATTTCATTTTCTTATAAATATGATATTTTCTATATGTAAACAAAAACAGTACACGAGCCTTGTTTACCTTATGAAGAACTTTAAGTTCTGTATCTCGTTTGTTAATCAACAAATGATGTTCAAATTTTTGCTAATCATGATGCCTTAGGTAGGAATTGTAAAAATTAAAATTGGTTTTCAAAAATCAGTTGAAACTGAGCCCATGCCCCTTTAAAGAATTGTAACAACACCCTAATGTAAATTTTCCGCAACTTCCATGGAATTCCAAAGCATATTCCACGGAATTCCATGGAATTTTTGTTCCGCGGAATTCTTAAGAATTCTCCGGAGTATTGGGACGGAACTTTTTTCGGAATGATTTGGAATTTTTAATCTAGCCTGGAAAAGAGCGGAACAATGCCAGAATGGAAATTTGCGGAGAAATCCATGGAATTCCAGGATGTTTGTAAATCTAAGGAATTCCATGGAAATCCATGGAATCCCAGGATTCCAAATTTCAAATACATGTACAATGAAAACTGAAATGATAAGTGCCAAATAATTACAAAAAAAATTGATAACATCACAATTTTTCATAGATCAAATCTATATTTTCAAAATAAAAAATTCATTGTTTGTTTTACAATGTTTTTTTAGACAAATATTGCATATAATCTCAGATGTACAATATAAGCACACTTTTTAAATGTATTCTCACTGGAAGTATTTTACAACTAAGGTTATTTACAAAAATATCCAGAGAAGAATATGATTACTGGAGAATCACCTTGATTAAATTAATGATAATCATGTTAAGAAATACATGTATTTAGTATACTCCAGTCTGCATTTTCTAAAATAAGAAGTTAATTTTATTAAATGACATTGGACATGGAATTGGAGAGGTCATCGAAACCTCAACAGAGTATACATTTACAATGAACTGCCAGTGGCTTATGTACTGGTACAGAGTTAATGACTAGAGTGACAAACACATGTATTTTAAATGCAAAAAATATGTACTACACAACTATATTGATACAAAGATCCCATAAAATCAACAGATGCTAAAGTATTTTCCCCCAACGTACGTGCCAAAGATCCCAATTAATGAAGATCCAAAACTTCCAATGTGTTTACTAGAGAATCACTTCCTCACTGATATCCCATGAAATTAGTAAATGGTTATGTTATAGGGTTGACAGATAATTGGTGTCACAAACGCATTCACTTTCAGTACGAAGGCTCAAAAAGTTGGATGATGATCATTACCACAGACACTTCAAACTTTCCTTGCACAATTTATGAAAGAAAAGATGACCATTAAGATGCATCATTATTGATATCCATATAAATATATGACAAATAATAAACTAAAACTATACAAAACAATTGGGTTTTTTCGACCTGGCAAATCAGTTTACCGTAGAATATGAATTCACTATCTTGCAATTTTTTGTTCAAATTAGGATTAATTCTGATAAATATAAAAATGTGAAAAGTTTATAGATGACAGACAACATCAGACACTGATCAAAAAACTCACTTAGGCCTTAAAATGGTTCAGGTGAGATAAAAAGAAAAGGTTAGAGCTCAAGCTCAATGCCTGACTGATACTAAAAAAGATGTGATTTTATTGATTTGAAAATAATTAAGAAATCTGACCTTTTGGGGTTTTTTTTCATCCAGCTCTTGTCCTTGTGAGCATAGGGATTCCTGTAGAATGGATGGTTACTTCATAGTAGATGATTGCAGCATGTTTGATCTAAAATAATTATGCATGCCTGTGCAGTTAGCACGTTTAGATTACCTGTCAGAATTCATTGTTTTAAATTATTAGAATAAGGAATTTAAGCTTGTTAAGAATATGAACCTTTAAATTTTGTTTACATGGCAAACTTGCAATAATTTTTTTTAATCTTATGCTAATAGACATGGATTAATAAAATCAAAGTTAGTTTACTTGGTTTGAATGATAATTTGAGCTAGTTCTCACCATATTCACAAGCCTAGTGACTGATTGGCTAAGCATCTACATCCACCAAGTTATAAAACGCCATCGCTGTGGTGATCATCTCAGGCACTATGCAGCAACTATAAAATAATTAAAATGAGAGCTGAAAATGATCATGAACATGCATAAAAAATATATAATTTATTACATTGTACATCATACTCTGTAAATGTTATCTTAATGCTTTACATCAGTTCGATCCCAAACGAGAAAATTCGAGTTTAAATCCATGATCTTAAATTATTAAAAAATTGAAATAGTGAACTAACGATTTCACCGTCGGGCAGTTTATATGTGGTGTCCAGACTAATGAACAGTAGCAGAAGCGTTCTTCATTCAAGGACACATAAAATACTGTACAATATTGTACCTACCAGATCTTAAAATGTCTTCATCTTCTTCCATCCAAAGCTAAACATGATTCCCCTGTTCTAGACACCCTCTTTCCAACTTTCCTTCTGTGCAACATCAACATGGCATTCGATATTTTTGAATTTCGGCGTGTTGTTTAAATTAATTGTTCATCGAGCCCGACTTCGAGCCCGATGTTATTGTACTATTATTCGACAGTTAAAAAAATCTAAGTAATTTTCCACAGTTTTCCAGCGCAGAAAATGGCTAAGTTTCTCATTTTATCATTTTTTCCAAAGAATTCCACTACTTTCCAAACCAAAAAATGTCTAAGTCCAATTTTTTTTTCAAATTCCAAAATATTCCAAAAACTTCCAGACACACTTTTCAAGTTTGGTATAGAAATAATTGGAATTCCATGGAATTCCAAAACTTTTCCAAACCCTTTGGAAAATCTACATTAGGGCTGAGTTAAAAACAAATCGTTAGAATTCAAGCAAAGACTTAATCATTTATTTACTTAGTATTTTAAATTGTACATTGTTTGTTACTTTTGAATTATAAAAATAGACACAAGAAAACATTGATGTAACCATCAATTGTCGCCCGGGAAATATATAAAGTAAACAATGAAAATGAGTCTTGATCATCAAACCGCTTCTTCAAAACTAGTGAAAAGGCATGCGTCTAATTGATGGAGACGATAGAAGCGAATATTTTGAAAACTTGTAGCCGGCTAAAAATCAATCAAAAAACGATACCATTTTTAACTTGATCAATTCCTCAAGTAAATGTTGGCTGCATAAAATATAAATTGAAGTTAGACTCATGCATCACCTATATTTAAAAATGTATTCATTTTCAATTTTAGAATATAAAACACGAACTGTGCAGAGTACGTTTTTATCCGAGAAGTAAAATTCGATGTTCTAAAAAAAGGGACCTGTCGTTTTTTCGAAAGTTAACGATAAGAAACTTTATATATCAAATATGAAAAACATATATATTTTTACAGATTAACTTTATGGAAGTAAATATATTATGTATCTCGTAATTTATGAACGGAAAGGACATTCTGATTAACAATCTTTTCGATGTTTAGAAAACCTTTAATTCTAAATAACTACTCCCACCCCAATCCCCATATACCAACACTTAAACTTATATGTATAGAGCAGCCCGGAGTGTATTCACTTTCAATTTTAGAATATAAAACACGAACTGTGCAGAGTACGTTTTTATCCGAGAAGTAAAATTCGATGTTCTAAAAAAAGGGACCTGTCGTTTTTTAGAAAGTTAACGATAAGAAACTTTATATATAAAATATGAAAAACATATATATTTTTACAATTCACTTTATGGAAGTAAATATATTATGTATCTCGTAATTTATGAACGGAAAGGACATTCTGATTAACAATCTTTTCGATGTTTAGAAAACCTTTAATTCTAAATAACTACTCCCACCCCAATCCCCATATACCAACACTTAAACTTATATGTATAGAGCAGCCCGGTCCTCCGGGCTGCAACGAGAAAAGTTTAGGCGTTTCAGAAGCTAGGAGAAAAACATTCCTGTTTGATCGATGCCACTTAAGGGGGCCGACTCTAGTTTTCATTGCGCAATATTTCGCGCATCATAGTAAAATGACGCGTATTTACTGTTTTAAAGCAACTTTTTTCAGTTGATTATTAAATTTAAACAAAATTAAGTAATTACAGGTTTAAAAATGAAATTACAATTTTATATAACTGAATTTTTAACCGAATTTGCAACTGATAGGTAGGTTGACGTCCTTATAGTGCGTTTTTGACGTTATGATAAACTGAAGCTCTTAAAGAAAAGTGTAATAAAAATGTTCTTCATAAAAATAATAAACATACGCTCTTGAAATTTACTACATAGGAATTTGATAATCTCTTTATCATATTTTATTATGTTCCCCAAACTGAGTTTGGGAACATATTGTTATTGCTCTGTTTCTTATTATTAAGGTCTTCAGTCTTCAGCGGAAGACCTTCTTGTTATTCGTTTGTTTCTTTTCCACTGTTTTTAAGGTCTTCCGTCTTCAGGGGAAGACCTTCTAGTGATTCTACTGTTTCTTCTTCTTCTTCTTATTATTTTTTTTCCCCCAAAATTTTGTGCAGGCGATTTCTCGAAAACTATTCGGAGGTTTTCAATGAAACTTTCAGGAATCATGCGTCATTATATGAACTTTGTTCATCAGAAGGAAAATTTGGAATACTCACCTTTGGTTCCAAGTTATTGACAGTTTTCTGATTTTAAAATGGATTTTTGTCCCCCCTTTTTTACGAAAATGGTCTAAGATATTAACTTGAGACTTGTTAGAGATGATAGATGATGAGTTTTAGATATGTGAAATCACCTTTTCGTGTGTCGTCAGTACTTCCGGTCGCTAGCGGAAGCGAATTTAAAAAGTCCGTATTTTCTAACTTTTTTGTTTTTCAATATTTTTCATTTATTTTTGGAATGTTAATAGATACCGTTCTTATAAAGCTTACTATATAATTTGTTTGAACATTGATAAATCCAAACTCTAGATATTAGCATTTAAAAATCTGAAGCGGGCCCAATATGGCGGCTGTCTATGTCAACTCCGACATTTCGCAATAGGGGTTTTCAGAGGCAGCCAAGCGTTTGCTTGAACGAAAGTAAATAAGGATAAATGAAATGTAAAGGAATACGGGGATTGTCACGATGTAGTTACGTTGCAATTCTGTGTCAAACTAAGTTTAAATCCATGGTCGTCTCAAACGTCTTCTATAATTGATTTCGGCTGGTTCTCAACATTCATGTCCAGTTCCCTTAATCAATTCGATATTGTCGACATCGCAATGTAAACAATGTTGATACGATATCATGTTTACATCGTCTACATTGTAATTGTTTCTACATGACGACATCGTCAACGTCGACATCGCAATGTAAACAATGTTGATACGATATCGTGTTAACATCGTCTACATTGTCATTGTTTCTACTTGACGATAACGTCGACATCGCAATGTAAACAATGTTGATACGATATCGCGTTTACATCGTCTACATTGTTATTATTGCTACATGACGACATCGTCGACGTCGACATCGCAATGTTGACAACTTTGATTTGATATCGCGTTTACGTTGTCTACATTGTTATTATTTAAGAAATGAATTTAATTTTTGAAGATTCATGAGGTTATGAACTACGACTCTTCACGCCGGCAAATTTCATGAAGCGCGTTAGATGTTGAAAAAGACAATGTTGACACGATGTCGACTCGATATCGACCAACATTGCAATGTCGACGATGTGAACGATGTAAACAAGATAAAAAGAACGCAATGTTGACACCACCAACATTACGATTTCGACGATGTGAACGATGTAAACAAGACAAAAAGAACGCAATGTTGACACGATGTCGACTCGATGTCGACCAACATTGTGATGTCGACGATGTGAACTATGTAAACAAGGAAAATAAGAAGGGCAATGTTGACACGATGTCGACTCGATATCGACCAACATTGCGATGTCGTCGATGTGAACGATGTAAACAAGAAAAATAAGAAGGGCAATGTTGACACGATGTCGACTCGGTATCGATCAATATTGCTATGTCGACGATGTGAACAATGAAAACAACAGAAAGGGGGAAAGAAATGTTAACAAGATGCTGACGTTATATTGTTAAACAATGTAATATGTAGAGATAAACAAAGGAATTATTGTCATGTTGAATATGTTATGATATTAGGAGGACTGGTATGTTTACAGCGATGTCGACAATATCGAAAAAACATCGTGCACTGGACATACCTCGTTCTCAAAGTACAAAAAGAAAAGACTAAGTGTGCAAATGAAATACATACCTACTATCATTTGTTTTGCGGAAAAACAGATCTTAAATCATAGTTACAAATAATAGTTTTAAGAAACAATATCGATGTATATATAGTAAGTATTAAACGTATCCATTGTTTTGCTCATGCACACTTGAGCCATATTAAACTAATAGGAAAGACAAACATAAAAAAAAGATTTTTTTGAAGAATTTAGTTTATATTAATATTCTTGTCTCAAAGATATGATTTAAGTTATTGAACATAAATGGTATCCGATTCCTTTACCGTCTTAGGGCGACACATGTTTTTCGGCGAAACATTTCAACCTTTTCATGAAAGTTTAACTAATCGAGATAGTTCAGTATGGGGATAAACAGAAAATTTTAAAAAGTAAAAAACTATAGCAGTTTCGCTGATTTAGTGTTACTTATCTATTTACGTCATAGAATGTGTAAATGTGTTACAAACAATTTCTTTACCTTGAAATTTTAGCTATAAGAACGTTCTTTTTTATTTCCATTGAAGCTATCACACCTATTTAATGGGACATTCCAAAGAAAAGGCGCGAAGATTCACTCGTGGCGTTTGGCGCTAAATTTTGAATAGTAACCCGCCTTTTATTATTCTACGACAGATGTACGGTTTCAGAAGTATATACAAGTAGATTTAGAGCTGTAGTCCCAATAGCGTAAAAATAAGCGCTTTGGATTTTCATGCTGGCGACCCGGGTTCAATCCCCTTTGTTTCCTTAAAAAAGTTTTAACACTTTTTCAGCTCGATTTTGCGGGGGGGGGGGGGGGGTTCAGAATCGGACGGAAGACTACGGAAGCCTGTTTAGGACCTTTCAAAAATATAATTTGAATTCGATATAACGAATTGTTATAACAATTTTATGAATTTGTTTCAACGAATTTAATTTGTTATAACATATTCATTGAATTCTTTATAACGAATTCAATATTTTTTTATAACGATTAAATTTGTTAAACAAATTCTAAAATTCGTAAAAACGAATAAAATTCGTTTAAACAAATTCTAAAATTTGTGATAACGAATTAAATCTTTTAATCAAATTCAACTATTGGGGCCTATAGAAAAGTATTTGTGAATTTGTACGGAAGCCCATTTAGGACCTATCAAAAAATATTTTTGAATTCGTTATAACGATTTTTAGAATTCGTTATAACGAATTTAATTTGTTATAACAGATTTTTAGAATTCTTGAATTGGTTATAACGAATTCAACAAATCTGTAATAACAGATTAAAATCGTTATAACGAATTCAATAAATCTGTAATAACAAATTAAATTCGTTATAACGAATTCAATGAATCTGTTATAACAAATTAAATTCATTATAACGAATTCAATAAATCTGTTATAACAAATTAAATTCGTTATAACGAATTCAATAAATCTGTTTTAACAAATTAAATTCGTTATAACGAATTCTAAAAATCTGTTATAACAAATTAAATTCGTTATAACGAATTCTAAAAATCGTTATAACGAATTCAAAAATATTTTTTGATATGTCCTAAATGGGCTTCCGTATATTTGTTATGACCAATTCAACAAATTTGTTATATAA